TTGTGGTGCTAGGAGCTTGAGACCGAGACCTGATGCGAACTGAGCGCCATGAATGGCGTTACACATCGAGTCAACGTCACCGTAGAACAGCGCCACCTCAAAGGCCACAAATAAAACCCTATAGGAACGTTGCGTGACTTCTTAGAGCCGTTACCTTTTTCTTAGCATCGATAACCTTTTTGACGTTGTCATGCTGCGTAATGTAGTGCGTCACAGTCAAATCGTATGTGTTTTCTATGTCTTCACTTAATGAGCATGAGAATGAGCATCAGCTCTTTTGAAATAAAGCTGAAATTTGCTTACTTGCAGCTTTCATACATAGGGACAATGCTGGGAATATTGAGAGCACGGCGCACGTCCGCTCTTTGTAGATAAACCGTCGAGTCATTATAATGAGCGCATGCAACTGTCGCCTGAATAAATTGGTTGTTCCAGTAAAGACGGACAGACTTGAGGCGCCTGGACTCCAGCCTCCAGGGCCAAATGTATCGACGCTAACCCAGCTTGATGCTCGAGCCAGCCCTCCACGTTCCACCAATCGGAATTCCATGATCCCTTCCTACATCCAGTGGCACGGCGTATTCCGACGGAAAGGCATGCTGCAAGTACACGTCCTGCCGCTGAGGGTGGGAGGTGTGAACAGCGACCCTTCTCAAAATTTTCTCCTTTGATGCCCTCTCCCGCTAACTACCTCTTCTAAAATTTCCAAGTACCACTCATTCTGAGGTTCGGATTTTTTCCTTTTCTTCAAAAGTTCTCCTCTTCCTTTGAGAAAATACCGTGGGCCAGAAGAGGAGGAGGGGGATGTGACAGGGCAACGGACATGAAACAGGAAAGATTGCGAAAAGTCAAAAATCGGATACATTTACTCCAAGGCAAGAACGACCTCCCTCCACTGACCAAATACGACACCTCGTGGGGGATCTGCAACATACGATGTTGCCTGTATGCATCTATGCAAGCTGCATGCTCCATGCGTTGTCGAAATGGAAGCCGGAGTAGTTGGCGCATACCAAATTGAAAGGTCACTCCACGCTCACTGTATGGGCGGAGCCTGACCATGCTTATGATCGGTTCAATCAGTACGTCCTCCTCCCCTGGACCGCGGTAAAGAATAGGGGCACTACCACTAGGAATTAGAACGATAAATCTTGACTCCGCCCTCGGCCAACGTGTACCATACCTCAAACAAAGCAACGGAATTGCGCACCCTGTATATTTTGAATTTTGGAAATTGTATGAAGCTATCATCACTGTGAAAGCAATTAAATTGAGCCACAATTCCACTCTGCATCACGCGTATATTTTCTCAGATGGGTGTTGAGAACCGTCGAGTGTTGATTAGTAGTTGAATCTGGCTCGTCGAGACGGCAAGTGTAGTAGAGGAAGAATGGATCGAGCCCAGTGAAACGTAGTGAAAAACATTAGCTTGATTCAGCGTCAACGACTTAAGTATGTAATATTCAAAGGTGAAAATAAAAAAAATCAAATTATCTGTAGTTAAACATCATTGTAGCATTTGTTATTTCGATCCAGCGACATCTTGTAGAAATCGCAGCCATACGATGAGTTATTCGGACAACATTTGTCGATAATCGATCGATATTGGCTGCAAATCATTCCGCATAGGCGTAAGACTTCCGTTTAGGAAAGAAAAAGTAGACACAGCCACTTAACTAAGACTCTCTGTTCTGCATGTAGGCTGGCTTTGTCTATTAAGAAGCGCGAGGCGGACAAACACTGTGTGTGCGGACTAGAGACCAGACAATTCTCAAAAGGGAATTACGCTGCCACAAACACTGCGAAGACGCGAAAATAGATCACGTTATGGTGGTCACTTCAAGGTTTTTCAACTTCAAAGTCTTCCAGCCCTACTTTTTGTGCTTCGTGGCATCTTTGAAAGTCCATACAGGATTATCAAAGGTAACTTTGGCGAGTTACGAGAATTTATAGACCTTCACCAGGTGACCTGCACAAGCTTTTCAGCGTGCCATTTGGCGCCCTCACTAAGCCAAACTGAGCCCACAATCTCATTTGTAAGCGCGACCCCATCTAAAGCCTTGACCCTCGCGCTGCCCGCTAACAATAAGCAACAGTTGCCACCTGCTTTCTTGGCAGGACTAGGGAGCATTAGAACTCTCTCTCTCTCTTTCTCATAAACACTTAGTGTACCTGGAATAAGGCAATGTCACTAGGTGAGGACCGGTCCACTGAAAGATCTCGAAATAGGAGCACGAACTACAGGTTCTCTTTGGATTTCTGCGTGCTACCTCACCTTTCGTCGATGAAGGTATGATCATAGTTGTACCCAACAAGGGAGTTATAAAGTAAGCGTTCGTCCACGCAGCCGTTGCCGATCAGCATACCCTTAACAAGTATATGTTTACTGCATTGTAGGTTTGAAAAGGCAGATGGTATCGGCACCTTGAATTGAGGAAAGCCCTTAAGCAAAAGAGCAGAAAGCATTGGTACATATGTTCCACCGTAAGATTCGCCAGCAACGTAGAAGTCATTTCTTTGACGTTCAGGAAACTTCTGGAAATTTTTACCGAATTTTTTTGCAACAAATTGATACAAATGCGGAGGAAAGAACCTTGAACCATTCCGTCACGGCCAGGAGGTTATCATGGGCCACTTCATCGTCAGTGAAGACATGGGCTGTCGTATTCAAGTCAACAGAAAAGCCTACTCCAGCTGGTGCGTCCAGATAGATTATGCTAGCTACCTGAAGATTACAAGAGTTCATCTA